GAAGCTGTCATACTCTTGACTCGTGATGTATATAGGTTGCTCGGGTGTGCTGTTTGGTTGCTGGTCCGTTTGTCAAGCTTGACATTCGGACTGCAGACGTTTAGTCGTCTGTCAAGGTTAGATCTCAGTGCGTTGATAATAGCACCTCCATAGGTGACAAAACGCGTGTACTCCAAAATGCCGAACTTCGCGAACAGACGACCAACCATTTGTCTAGCTTCCACACCTCCAAATAGCTGACACTGGGACATCAGTATCATGGTAAAGCAATAGTTTCACGTGAACCACAAGCATATCGAATTTAAATTGGCTTTATGTGGCAGAATTCATGCAACAGCCCAATACATTTATGAGAATTCTGGGTAAAAGTGGATGCGAACGTTAAAGTGATTGCCATATTGAGTTTGTGTTTATCCACAGACGTCAGTTTGAAACTGCCATTAGATGGGAAACAAAGTAAACGAAAAGCCGGCTCACGAAAAACGTGAACTCAGTTACACAGCTTAGTAATGTGCACAGTACAATGGGCTGAAAAAAGCTGATGGTTTTCGAGAAATACACTCATTTGCAAATCAATCTGGTTTTCACGAGAGACAACTGAATCTCTCGCAAATGAGTGTATTTCTTGAAAACAGTCCAATTTGGTTTCAAGTTGAACATGAGATTGACGGAAATTCGGGGACTGCGCCTACCTGATGAGCCCCAAGAAGCGCGAAACTGGTCGTGGGCTGTCGAAGAGTTTTCAGTAACCTTGTGAATAGTTTCCTTTATAAAAAAACTGATGGTTGTTATACATGTCAGATGTTGTCAGTATTGTTCCCAATATGATTCAAATTCAGGTGATTTAAGGAAACAGAATTCGGGAACGATGAGTGAAAATTCAGGGACAAGAGTTGTGTTCCAGCATCCGTGGAGAACTCACATGGGTTGAGCAAACCAGCTAGTTCCATGGAGATCTGGGCATTTAGCTAAAGCAACTTGAGATACTGCAGTATTGCCCAAATCAGTATTGGCTCTGAATCGCACTAGAGCTTTGTGAGTATTATCAACCGTGATGAACACCAAGGGATCGGACAATGAAGGCTTCTGGAGGAAACCAATGAGAAGGCGAGCCAAAGAACTTCCGACTGAGCTCTAAATCATCTAAATTTGCGATGAAATAACCACTGTGTAATTTCTGCTTGATAACTCAAACTTTACGTCGAGTTTTAGCTCATCATGCTTTCAAAGTATGAATGAGTTGGGCTTTCAACTATCAGTTCAATTTCACTATCTGTTTAGCATATTTTTTTCGTCCTTCGGAGTTCCTTAAGTGTGAGGTCTGTCAGTGATAAAATTTATTCACTTGGACTACCCAGAAGAAATCTATGCAATATGCACTGTGGTGGAAATAAACTGACTGAATAAGCTCTACAAAAAAGCTAGGTTCGTAGAAGTTGCCATATGCTTCGAAGTTTTCAAGCTATCTGGTGAGCTTTTTTTTTCCTTTGGATCCAGTACGAATTCTCTCTAGCCTAGAGTTGTCTTTTCAGTAAGCTATGCGGAATGGGTATTACAAATCACTCGTGGAGATAACACAAAGCTGAAAATAAAAATGTGTAGGGGATGTACCACGTTTTGCGAGCTGACTCAGAAACATGGTATAGAGTCTCTGAAATCGTCATCTGTAGTCGTGGGGAAGGGTGGAGAAATGAACAGAGTTCTTGAAGAAGATAACCCCAAGCGTTTCATTTTGCTCCACTGAAAGGTTGGGTGCAAGGTGAGTGCTAGGTGAGACAGCGCGCCGCAATTTTGCCAAGAAATCTGTGTCGCACGGAAACATCGGAAATTTAGTTGGTTAATTGCTGAAATCATGCTGGACTCAATCCAGTCTCCTTACGACAAACCCAGCGTTTGAGAAAATTTATAATGTTAACTTCCGCCCCCTAGAGTCGCTTGTGGAACCGATTAGCTGGACACGAACTAGTTATAAGCCAGTTAACACAAATATCCGACTACCTGTGCGTAGATAGAAAGCTTTTCCTGGTAAGCCGTCTATCCTCAGGAAAAACCGGCCCACTTAACGAGTTGTACTTGAAATTTATTGTACGTTTACACATTGCGGATGGTGAGCTCAAACCTTCTGGCTACTTGGCAGGAGTCGTAAGATTCAGTTGACAGACGCTTAAACAAACAATCACACTATTATTAGGTGTGTCTAAGATTGCGGATCGACCAATCAGATCACAGCTGGATATATCTTGGTCCGGTGTAGCATGTATTAGTGCTGACAGCCACAAGTTGTTCTTCACATTAGACAGGCGGCGTCGCACGGGGTATGTTCACCTTGTAGTCAGTGTAACTTGAAGATGGCCAATATGTGATTGATTTACGTTCGGTTACACGGTGCCTAAGGACATAATATTAAATTGGCTTAGACGTAACCCGACAGCCCACGTTTGGTTTTGCTCCTCAACAGTTTTCGAGCTTCCGTCGGTGTTATGTTCAAATCAAAGCTAAATTAGACGGAATCCGACAACATTCTCATTTTCCTTCGTCTAGACAACAATGTTTCTCAAATATCGTGCGAAATTTAACATGAGGCGTTCTGGCACAGAACGTTCAATTAAAGCGAACCATTTTAAACGAGTGACTGAGCTGAATTCAGTGAGCTGAGTCGCCTGTCACAACCGAATTCGGGCACAAATTAGGGTGTTTGTTGAACTGTCTCGTTCAAGAATTCCATCCACTGGATAGCGGAAACATGTTCCACCCGTACTTCATGTTTCCACATTCTACGCCTAAGAAATTCTTAGGATTGCATTGACCCATAGTTGTCAACCTTCATGCAAGTTTCGCCGCCTGTTGAATGGAGACAAGTGAGGTGCTCATTTTCTGTGACAGAAGAATGTGGATGAACATCTCCTTACATCAAAATTTATTTCGTTATCCTAACCGACAGCACTTTTACAGGTTTCCCGCTCGATGACTGAGACACCCACTGAAACATATTTCCCACTTTCATTGCTAGATCTTGGTGTTTTCAAGAACTAAAATGATCAGAAACGGGATGCGGAAAAGTTCAGAAGACAGTCTTTGGGTCTTGAGTGTCCCCGGTATAGGAACACTGTCGACAGTGATGTAAGATTGACACGCATCTAACTGCATTCCAAGTTATGCATGAATATACACGTTTTTGGTTGCACACTAGGGTGTTAGTCCGATGGCAAACCTTTCGTGATGGTCTCCGTATTGGGGGGAAGGCCCAGGGTGGATTCACCCTTTCACAATCTCAGTCGATCCCCTGCCTTTCGTCTATTTTCCTCCTTGAAGTATGCATAAAAGGGGCCCAAAACTTAGCTATCTAAAAGGTTTTTCTACTTTTGTTTCAAGACGTTTAATGGATAAACCAGCTCTCAGTATGTTGGATTAACTCTTTGACCAATGACCAGTGACGTCTTGGATCAAAGTCATTAATGTTTTGGGGTCATTTAGTTCCCTCACTCAGGCTCATTGCTCAAACTTCAAAAATCATGTTGTAAATTAAAGTACACAAATTTCTCCCCCCAAGGACCATGTAGAATTCCTACAAGTGGTTGGGGAATGCTTCAGTCAAGTCAATGTTCTAGCTGATCAAAGAAGGCTTATGGACCCCCGACCTGTCACGGCACATGGACATCGGTCTCCGTGTATAACATCTACACGACCCTAAGGTTCATCGAAGTTCATCATCTCGCAATCAACAAACGCCCAATATCTGGTACTCTCCATGTCAACCTGTCTAGGCACTAGTCAGCAGAGCTTGTTACACGACTTCTGTGGGTTTTCAGCAGTATTTTTGCAGTACGTGAGTAGTATTTGTGGTGAATATGTGGCATGTGGTGAATAGTCAACATCATTAACAAAAACCAGCTGAAGAGTTATAGCATCCTGACCTGCCTCCAAACGTAACCGGACTACATGACAGCCAATGGAATAGCCGTTTTCGTTGAGAAAGATTTCATTGGTTGTTCTTCACTCGCCCTTGACAGATGTGCTTTTGACCCGCTTGTAGGCGACAGTGATCAATAGAGCAGCTGGCTAGCACGTTAATTGACTTTCTCTGGTTTGGGTAAGAGCATCAGGCTATCAAGAGACTATCCAGACTCGGGTTGACGGTGTTGAGAAAGCATCAAGGAGACTGTAGTCAACGACATCTACAATAAACTAATGGGCTCTCATACTACAGGGGTCTTCATTTAGTACCTAGATTTTGAACGCTGAACCCCAAACTTGTGCCACGAATCACGAGTAGGTTGCATGCGCTGCGGGTTCGACGAGCGAAGCTCGCCGATAATTAGAATCACCCGTGTGTCGTGCCAATCCTCTGCTGTCACCGGGTACTGATAGCTGAGTTGGTCGGTTCAAATTTCCCTGTCTGACTCTAGAAAAGAATTGAATATTAGCAAAATATCGTCGAAACCTCACTTTGACGTGACTAAAATGAAAACCAAAACGGAAAAGTAGGTGCGACTAATTCTATATCGGTGAAATCCCAAATAATAATAGGGTTGGTGACAAAAAGGAATGGCCTTCAGTACCCCGCGTGACCATCAGATGGACTGCTTTACATTTACTCGTTTGACCATTTCTAATTGAAGTTATGTTCCAGCCTAGAATTGAAGCTATTCGTATGCTGTATCAATCAATCAGGTAGGTCAGTCAATCACAAATGACCTCATCGAATCCTACCTAACCGTCCGATCATGAAAATGTGCACCGAGTTCACTGACTCATGGATGCCTACTTTTGGTGTAAAGAAGTAAAAACTTCCGTTGCTGCCAAGCGCGCAGCATTTGGGAATCACTAAGAACCGGAAGGTGAATAGGTAGCAGTGATAGAATGAACGAACTGAAGTGCTCGTAAAAACACGTAAAACGTTTGTTTCCTCACGGGGAGCTGTATCATCTCCACTTTTCAGCTATGCAAATGCAGCAACGGCCGAGACGTAAGTGACTCCTTCGTTCAAAGCCTAATGTCTTCAGTTTTCCAGCATGGGCTTCTTTTTCTTTGCATTTGCCTTGCCGACAGTCTGGTCTCTCCATCTATCCAGTTTGATTTAAAAGGACCACGCGTGCAGCAAAATAGGTCATTCACCATCGACCCCAACACGCACACATTTCTGAAAGACGGGGCACAATTTCAGTATATCGCCGGAAGTTTCCATTATTTTAGAATTCCGACACTGTATTGGCGGGATCGCCTGGAGAAAGCCAAGGCAGCTGGTTTGGATGCGATCCAGCTGTGAGTTCCATTGAGATACTTTTATCAATATATTTGGTGTATTATTGATTTTCTGTCAATTTTCTCGACTTACAACACTTTCTGATTGACAAAAAGTTGGTGTGATAAGTCAATCCGAAACGTTTATAAAGTTTGATTGATTTTCAAGACCTGCAGACAGTCAATCTTTTTATTAATCCTTAGGAAAACCTCTAACCAAAGAGAATGCATCATGAATGCTTTCCATATGGAGCTTGTGTTTTTGAAAATTTTATTCCCGTTATAATTGCTATGGTGCCCAGTAGTCTGGTTTGACAAACTGATGGTCACAATTTTCGCAACTGTTCCCTCCGAATGGCCTTCAATGCCTTCAGAACACTTCTACCACACGTTCGTCGGTTCTTCATCCGCAGTTGGACGTTTTTCAATGGATGACTGGGTGTACTGTCAACACACTCATCGTTACAATGTGTGGATGAGATGGCCAGTGGTCTCAGAGATGATAGCATGTTATAAAATCGCTTGGTCTGATGGTACCAAACAAAGGAATTCGTCCATATTCTCTCCACTGTTCTTGGGGGGACGTTTATTTACTTAGCACTTTCTATGCAAAAACGATAACCCGTTTTTACTAGTGTCGTCCTATTAGTCAAGTTATGAACAGAAGGCTCCTCATATCAGTTTAGATAAAACAGTGCGAAAATCGTGACCATATATCTTCTCGGTGCGACGTTAGTAGAACATCCGGGTACAAGCTTTTGTAAACCGGTCAGTGAAGTTTATTGAAAGTCAGTAATGCGAAACTCTAGCGGAATTTCGGGTAGTAGGTATGGAAGATTCATTAAAGAACACTGAATTCAAGCTAAGCCTATACTAACCTTCTAGGACTAACTGACTTCTATCTCTACGCTCTAGCCTGTGGTTGAATATGGTAGGGAATTGATACATTCAGACCGTACCGAGGCTGACACATTTCATGCTCTCTTCTCTAGGGCAACCGTTATTTTCGTCACTTTCATAGATGCCCCAGTTATTGGGAGAGTTCTGTTGAGTTAAAGCTACCCACTATCGCGGCAACATACAGCGAGGTATTTTAATCATCTCATCATATAACTAATCGACTTCGGATGTTGTGTTAACATAACAAGGCTCTATGGTTAGCAAACTTCCGTTATGGCTATTTTTTTCTATTGAATTGAAGACTTCAAGTAACTGATAAAATGGTAGCAGTGATCAGAAAATGCATGTCAGGAGATATTTACAGTTAGATAAGTCAGGCAGTAACACAAAACTGCGCAAGCTTATAGGGCGCGACCTCTTCAACCATGCTGATAGAAAAGAGACGTCATGGCTGTCAACCACCTTAAGCTCCACTAGTAGTCACATCTTTATGACGGTGTCGAATAAGGCGAAACTTCCATAGAATTAATTATTGCATGACTAATCCTTTCAATGGTGAAGGGTGAGAGTTGTTATCGGAATCAATATGAAACGGAAGTCACTTTAACAATGACGATGCAATCGTACCCTAAGAAGCTTGACGTCTTGGGGCAATTAGAAAGCGAGTTTTGGGTTGTGCAACGTGTACCTCCATTGAAGAATGTATACAACACCAGAAGCTGTGTTGGTTGGGACCTGTGTTGCGTATGTCTAGCCATCGTTTGCCGAAAAGGGCACTGTTTTCCATGCCCCATTCAGAGTGGCGTAAACAGAGAGGTGACCAACCTTTACCTGGTAGAGGGGTAGGCAAAGAATCACGAGACGTTTGGGTGCTGCTACTTGCCTTTCAGGATGAGGACCGCGTGATCTTCACTGCACCTGGTTGGAGACGCTGCAAGATATGGTTGCCAACCGATGTCAGTGGCGATCTTGTTGACAGTTTTTATCCACATCGCCTGAATGAGTGCTTAGAGGTGTAGGCAACTGGGATAGTACCGGCTGAGAGAAGGCTTACCTGGCATTTTTGAGCCGCTGATCGGAGAGTTAACTTCCACGACCGAGCTGTAAGGTAACCGGTGCTAAGCGTTTCGTTCACTGAAGTGTATTCTAGTTGTACGTTTAGAAGCCCTGAACTGTAGCTTGTCGAAACATGTCAAATAATAGCTGTGTTCCGTATGACACTCACAGTCGTGTGGTTTTATTCTAGAGGATGTCTTTGCACGAAAATTTTTCAAAAGCCTCTCTGTAGCGTCCGGGATTAATTTGTGGGTTTCTTTCACCTCTTTTTTACACATTTAGTTACATTCCCTGGAACTTCCATGAACCCGAAGAAGGCGAATACAATTTCGCCGATGATCGGGACCTCGAATACTTTCTAGATATCATACGACAGCTGGATATGTTGGCAATAGTCCGTGCTGGACCGTACATATGTGCAGAATGGGCATTTGTGAGTTCATTCCTTAATTTGCAGTTTAGAAAACGAGCAGTTTCTTATGCTGCGATCCTCGGAATCCCATAGTACTACTTTACTTGGGGCAATTATTTACAACTTATTCAAATTTTATCTCAACGGTTGGAAAAAACTAGCCTTTTGGATAAATTATCCCGAATAAAACCTCTGAATCCGTCATGTCCAGCTATGGGCAAAACATCCTGGGAATATAATGGCACGGTTTTGCTTGAAAAGTCGATATCAACAGAAGCGTTTGAACGAAATAGCAGTGAAAACATGAGACAAGAAACTGTCCTGGTTGACCGTTTTGTCGTGAACGTTTCTGATGGAAATTTGATTGGCTCTATTGTGAGTATCTAGGTTATGTGGTACTCAGGGTTCTCTCCCCATTTTCTTTTAGTTTGTATAAGGTTTCCTCGTCGACAATTTCTAACCTCAAATCTAAGAAACTGGATTTTTTGCCAGTCTCATACAGCCTTCCTTCTGATTCCATTGTATTTGTCGATCTTTTATGGTAATTTAGCGATTCCCGGGTCAATGGGCACACTGTTACCAGTTCAAGCACCACAAGTGGAAATTTGATGTTAATCACAGCGATTAACTCTGACTGTGCAGTTTATTCCACGGTTTCGGAGCATTTATTTACCGGAAAGATCGAAGACTGATTCGGCGAAGAACGAATAGGTTGTTGGACATGACCGGTGGACAGACTTAGACCGGGCTATAGATAATATTAGCTGTCATTACACTAAACTGGTCCACGATATGCTAGCACCGTAAACTTGGTGAATGGATATAGCTTCTGGTTCTGTCAATGAATTTGAAATTTTGGGGTTTTGCGGGATAGGTATTTTGTTCATAGTCACACCACTCTCATTTGAACGGTCGTGTTACTGTTCTGGCTTAATTATTCCGGTGAGTCCACATCAAAGGGAAGCACTGGACTAGAGTGTCGCTCTTATTAGAGCTCATCAGCAGTGCGTATCCATTGGTCGTGCCGGGATTTGAACCCCGGACATCTGACATGCGAGGCAAGCGTGTAACCACTACTACACCAACGCATGTTGGGCGCATCTGAATTATCACCTCTGAAGAGGCGAACGTGTTCACACTTGAGCGATGCGCTTGGTGTGCCCGACTCATCGAACGACGACCCAGTAACTGTCCTGGTTGTGACGATCGATCCAGTCAGGACTTCCCAGTCAGGTAGCGTGGCACACGCTTGAAACCCACTGGGGAGATTTTTGGTTGAAATTTTGGGGTTTCGCGGGAGAGATGGCTGAGCATGGTGATAGCAAGCATACCAAGATTAAGGATATTAAAAAAGGCATTTTCTAACCCAGGCACGTATGAAGTAGACATTCACGGCTGAACTGGAGATTGGGATCTAAGAGTGGAGTCTATTCAAAGGTTCCTATTCACGTTGTATACGAACCCCACACTGGCCACATCAGTCAAAATATGTCAAAATAGGTCTTCTGAACGTTGATTACAAACACTCAGACTAACCAAGTCACGAGTACTTGTCAAATAACATGTTCGGGCTGTAGATATATGGATGAAACAGATGCCCTGGTCACCAAAACTTGCGCGCTTCAGTTTCATTTATGCCTACTGTAAGACAAAACCTCATTGGCGCCTGATGTTCATTTTCTCTATTTGGTCTTTGGTTTGCTTTGCTTTAGGGTTTTCGTTGCCGGTACTCTGCCTTTCACACCAAATAAACCGTCTGACTTAGAAAGTGATGGCTTATTAGTTTGACGGTCAAAAGAGGTTACTTTTTGCAAAAAGTGTTGTTTTCATAAATATAGCTTTCTCCCTTTATCCATTTCGTGACTTTTTGAGAATTTGGTGAAGCTGAGTTGGAATCATTTTTCAATGCCTTACAGGGTGGTCTGCCTCCTTGGCTTCTTCGAAAGAATCCGAATATGAAAATACGTTCGTCTGATCCCGGTAAGCTACGTGACATTGGTTGTGAATTGCGATGTCCCCCCACCCACTACAAATCTCCCCAAGACATTGTGACTATATATAAGAAGGCGGATGGTTTTTCACTTTAGTGTCGGCAGTCCAGTTTTTAGATAGAAGTTTTATGCCTCCTTCCTTGTGTTTCGCACTGCTCGTTCTTTACCGGAAATTTATTATCCAACGAAGCTTTTGGTGCGATTTCCCTGAAGGCACCGGACGCACCCACCATATAATTTGTACATCCGACCCGTTTCCAATTTGCGCATCGTGAGTACACACAGTTGGATGTTGTTTATCACAGGAAATGCCTATTTTAGGCGGGGCATCTTCCATCCACTGTGCAGCTTCTCCCGTGCTCTCACGATGTGTCTGGTGCCACTGACCTTCTGCTTTTGTTCGAGTTGTTTCTGTAACAGTCCATCGATCTGTCCAGCGAGTGGATGACCGAGGTTATAACATATTGTCAAAGAAAATTTATTCTGCACCCAAAGTCACCAATCAATTTATCTCATTTGGTTAACAGTAAGAGCTTTCGCTTCATCTTGTCCTGTGTGCAATCGGTCATTAAAGTCAGGAATTCAGATGGAATGAAACCAGTCCCCCGCATTTTGGACTTTCAGCAAATCTGAAGTGTTTTTCTCACACAACAGGCTACATTTGGAGTTGTTGACCCACAGTACGCTCAAGAAGCTTGCTACAGATTTATGAAGTGGCTCATTCCAGTTGGGTTTGGCTTGGAGTCGCGTTCGAGAAGAAAAACGATTGTGCACTGCCTTGCACTCATTTTTCAACAACAAAAAACCTCGGCAAATTCGGATAGAATTCTTCTCCACTGGAATATCGCCTCTATGCCTTCAAAATTCTCTCAGTTATCGGGGGCTTGCTCGGTGGATACGTGGTGCCTTGATACTGTCTGGAGCCAACCTCCATGTAAACAAATAATGATGGAATTTAGTATTACTTTAGTAAAAGAATGGTCACAATCCTCGGATATCTGCTTCACCGATATGTACATTCTAATGTATTAGACCGAAATTTAGGATATTCTTTAAAGTGCATTTTGAGGAGCTGGCTACATGCAATAATTACTCATCATTCCCAACGGAAGAAAGCTTTAATTTCTTTTTCGAAATAGGATACCCAATGAGTTTGATTAGGCGTCAACTAAGAAAGATAATACCTCCAGTATCTAGACCCAGTAAGAAATGGATTGGCACGGCAGTCGTTCTGTATAAAGCGGGAACATCGGAGGTTATTCGAAGGCTGTCAAGCTTAGCCAACATTTGAGAGGCTTTTCAGAAGGGAAAAACGCTACGCTCAGTTTTGGTGCAATTGGAAGATCCCTTGCCGGTTGAAAGGATATGGGACTGTGTGTAAAACTAACTTCAACGATTGTACTAAGGTTTGAATAGGACCAACTGTCAGGGAATTGCACACCAGAATTGATGAGCATTAAAGCAGGATAAACAAACCACCACCAAAGAACGCCGGTCAAAGACTCAGCGATGGCGGTACATGCCTTAGACACGGGACAGAATGGATCTAGAGAATGTGGAAATTTTAAGACGGGGACTGCGTCTCACACCACAGCAGCTGATAGCCGACGGGGTGGAAATTACTAAGAATCACAGCCTGAGTGGAATCGAGGGTGTGCACCTAGCGAGCGTATGGAAAGCGGTCTTAGATAAGCCGAGTTGACACGTGACCGTGTGGTTGTCAATCCACTTAGGATCATTAGAAAAAACCTGGGGGTAGGGGTGGAAACCCCAACCGACCAAAGATCATAGCATCCCTCACGACTATCTTAGCACTAGCTCACCCACACAGACTGACAGAAGGTTCAAACGAAGTTCAAGAGGAACCATCAAATGAACCGAACCAGAAGAACTAGACCCTAGGCTGGACCCAAACACATGTAGGTTTCCCCACCGACCCAACATTTGTTCAACCAATCTAACACACTAAAATCCCTCGGCCGACACCCAACAGAGATTTAGCTTGACTTAGCTGATTGGTTCTCCTTCCGCCTTAAATCTCCACCAACCTTGGAACCTAGTCACTTGGCCCGACGAAGCTATTGTGTCAAAAGCGAAACGTTGCCCAGCAATAAATCTACCGATTGTCACCAAACTTTTCCGAAAACAAGAACGCCAAGTTGTTCGCTGCATCACTGCCGCTCTATGGCCTGAATTAGGCACTAACGACACCAGATACAAAAGGCGCAGGCCCGTTTTTTTTACTATTTTTTCGCTGTAACCAACTTTGGGAACCTTTGTATTAGCTAGATAGTGTCCCGTGGTCTAGGGTGCCAATAGCTTGAAGTGTTCCAACAAACGGCTAGAGCAAACAGACTGTTTTTGTAAACGCATTCAAAAATTGTTTTTCACCGTTTTGCTCAAATGCACAAAGTTCATCCAGGTGAACTGTAAATCCAGATCGTCAGCAGTACCAGGTCCGAAGTCCAATTTATAAAGCTGAATCGAACGTTGAAGCGTATTGGCTGTTCACAGCCAGGTGCAAATCGGTCGGCTAGCTAAGGATGCTTTACATTTCATTACTTGTGTTTAAAATATTGTCTCCCGTCGTATAGTTGTACGACCAAAGTAACTCATTTTTGAGGGTTTGAGTACATTTCTCGGAACCAGGGTGTTTCTGTCCCTCGGTTGCAGTGGAGTGCGCAATCAATGACGGACTATTTGTTGGATAGCTGTAGTGTTTCCAGGTACTCGTAGAAAAACGAAGCAGGATGATTTTTCTTTCTTGTTTGCTCTTTTTTGTTTGTTTAAACGCTTAGCGAGTCCTTGGTTTCCAACCAATCCGAATTTGGCCGAGACTACAGCGAAATTCTATTCAACCCTGTTTACAGCATTACATTTCTTGGACATCACTGATTCGTCCGAGCTGTAGCTCATAAGATGGGGTCCCATCGTAGATCTTACTCAAATCTAATGATACTATTTCTGCTCAGGTCTGCTAGGACGCGCCCACTCGAGACGTAATAAAAGAGGCATGACTTCCAATCAACCGAGGTCGTGGGAGAGTCCGGCGGATGTAGGTGTACTGGGAGAACCATTAGAAACCAAGGAGGACGCCAAAGCTAGTCAATAAAGCCGGGGCAACATCAGGAATCAACTGTCATTGAGTGCGTTTTAGACGGTAGTCATGCTTGAACAAAATACAGCCTTTTAGATGTAACGTTATGTTCAGTTGCAATAATAAACAAGACTGTTGTACACAGGTTTAGTTCACGTGGATCAATGTTAGGACACGGAATATTTTCTGTTCTGTCCCAGCAAGCTCCCCGTTTCTCCCTACATGATAAGCATGAATACCTATCTTCCACTCACAGAACTCAGATATTGAGCGAATTCACTCACTTTTCTCCAGCAAGGTGCAGACTTATCAAAGCTTTGATACTTGTTTAAAGCACTCTTCAGTTTCAAAACGTATGAATCTTTTGTTTTTCGTGGGTGACTCATTTGCAGACACAGCACCTGGCGACCGAAATGCCTAGTTGCAGGATATGTTTCGCCGTAACTCCTACCCTTTTCAGTCTGGGAATGAAAAATCCATTCTAATTGGCCTTTCCTTAAATAACCTTTAAACAAGGAGCGCCTTGAACAAAAATTGACCTCACCTTGATATTTTGAATATATTTCAATCCTTCACGACGTACATTGCAGGCGTTCTCGCTGCCTGATTGGGTCCAGTCAGCCAATTAATGACTACAGATGTTCCATGAGAGCAACAGTACCTCAATAGACAGAATGAACCCCATGCATTGTCGGATCAAGTGGGAGTCGTATGTACGACGGAATCGCGGCAGTTAAGATTTCTGTAGCTACTGAGGGATCCAACTCTCCGTTTTCACTAGAACATAACGTTCTGCGCAGTAAAAAAAAGCCAGCAACCTAAAGATTCCCCAACGACTACCTTACACTGAAATTAGAATGAGAGTCACATAATCAGCGTTTGTTCACTCCGAAGGATTGAGGTTGATTTCAAAAAAGTGGGGTTTTCCTTCGTACAGTGAACGCGCAGTTATAAGCCAGCATGAGGTACTACATCTGCGGACTTTGGTTGGACTAAAAGGGATAGCCATTTTAACCACGGTCACAGATGATGCATAGGATGGCTATGAATAAATTCATCCACATGAGAAAGTGATAAGGTAACGAAAATTGTACGACGGTATGTTAAGAAGCTATATGTGCAGGCTGAATGATCCACATTCTTTGTCCCGAACAGCTTACTATCAAGAAGTGGTGAAGTGGTTCAATGTCTTACTGCCGAAACTACGAAAGCACCTCTACACCAGAGGAGGACCAATCGTAATGGTGCAGGTGAGTTCCGGTGAAATTTTGAAAACATGCCTTCATTGTAAAACCAAACATCTGGGTGGTTAGGCATTCACTCCAGGTCTATCTTGGGAACCTCATAGTTTTCCTTTCAAATAACCTTATACTAAAATGAGCAAGAAGGCGACCATCCGCGTGACACGTAATCCGAAAGTATTTCACCAAATTTTGGCTGATTTTTGCAAGCAAAACGCAGCAAGCAGCCTGACCGAAAGTAGTAAAACATGGATACAAGAAAATAGATTTGTCACCTAACATGAAAATTTCAGATTTCTTTGCAAATATCACCTCCTGTTGGTCGCTGGTTTGTGTACCAACCTGGATGCTTTGATTGCAAATCTTTCTCCGCCCATCGAGGTGACTTTAACTGTCCGTTATGAGGGGCTTACTGTAGCGCAGGAATGAATCGGCACTTGTGCTTTCAATAGTGTTGCTTGGCGCTAATCGGGGCTGGCCCTCGGTCGCGACTGGATATTCGGTCAAGCAGTTCCATTGGTTGCTCGGATAACGTGTATCCTGATCGATAGATGACTACGTGACCTCGGGATCGGACCAACAAATTTCCCAAGATAGGGTCGGGGACAGAGGTCATTCCAGCACCCACGTGAGTAGGAAACCAGGGGATGTCAAGCTCAAAAGTTACGTGTTCACCAATCAGTCAGGACGCAGGATAACCCAGCGACCAATGGAATTATCCAACCGAACATCTAATCGTAATCGAGGGTCAATTCCGACTGGCAGCGCGTAATTTAAAACACTCAGCACTACTCAACTCAACGTAACGCTCCACCAGACTCCCTGAAAACGCAATCATGTAACCTCAACTCGTGATAAAACGTTTGCAATCCAACTGTTCAGCTTAGCGAGCAGACCTGAGCTACTAAAATTTATCTCTTGTTAGCGAGTCAGCTTACTATCAAGAAGTGGTGAAGTGGTTCAATGTCTTACTGCCGAAACTACGAAAGCACCTCTACACCAGAGGAGGACCAATCGTAATGGTGCAGGTGAGTTCCGGTGAAATTTTGAAAACATGCCTTCATTGTTAAACCAAACATCTGGGTGGTTAGGCATTCACTCCAGGTCTATCTTGGGAACCTCATAGTTTTCCTTTCAAATAACCTTATACTAAAATGAGCAAGAAGGCGACCATCCGCGTGACACGTAATCCGAAAGTATTTCACCAAATTTTGGCTGATTTTTGCAAGCAAAACGCAGCAAGCAGCCTGACCGAAAGTAGTAAAACATGGATACAAGAAAATAGATTTGTCACCTAACATGAAAATTTCAGATTTCTTTGCAAATATCACCTCCTGTTGGTCGCTGGTTTGTGTACCAACCTGGATGCTTTGATTGCAAATCTTTCTCCGCCCATCGAGGTGACTTTAACTGTCCGTTATGAGGGGCTTACTGTAGCGCAGGAATGAATCGGCACTTGTGCTTTCAATAGTGTTGCTTGGCGCTAATCGGGGCTGGCCCTCGGTCGCGACTGGATATTCGGTCAAGCAGTTCCATTGGTTGCTCGGATAACGTGTATCCTGATCGATAGATGACTACGTGACCTCGGGATCGGACCAACAAATTTCCCAAGATAGGGTCGGGGACAGAGGTCATTCCAGCACCCACGTGAGTAGGAAACCAGGGGATGTCAAGCTCAAAAGTTACGTGTTCACCAATCAGTCAGGACGCAGGATAACCCAGCGACCAATGGAATTATCCTACCGAACATCTAATCGTAATCGAGGGTCAATTCCGACTGGCAGCGCGTAATTTAAAACACTCAGCACTACTCAACTCAACGTAACGCTCCACCAGACTCCCTGAAAACGCAATCATGTAACCTCAACTCGTGATAAAACGTTTGCAATCCAACTGTTCAGCTTAGCGAGCAGACCTGAGCTACTAAAATTTATCTCTTGTTAGCGAGTATACACTAATTCGCAAACTAATTTGGTTTTTCGAGAGGCTCACCTGGAACCCAGATGAATCTGTCGGCTTTGATGTTTCCAGGGCGAAACCGGTCGTGGGCTGTCGACGGATTTTCAGCAGCCTTATGAGTACAATTTTATCTCCTGTTGTTTTCGTTACATTGAAGAAGTAAGAAAACATTTGTGGGCGTGTTTCAAACTTTAAAGTTAATACCTTGCTTATTTTGTTTACGAGTGAACGAGTCTGCAAATGTGGCCTTACTGAATTTCGTATTATCTTTGAAAATGTTACTGAAATACCACAGTCATTCGTTCTTGATTACCGTCACATAATTATTCATACAAATTTTATATTCTTAATCCTGAAGTGGTAATATTTTCCACAGGATTCTCCGTCAACAGCTGTTTTTAGCATTTCTCCTTATGCGAATAAATTCAAACAATAGGCCGGTCCTTGATATCTACTGAGGTTACAACGATCCGCGGGTCATTTTCTCTATTAAATGAGTCAAATGTCCACCCCTTCGTCCAACATAAGGGTTTTTAAGTCAGTATGTATCGGCTGGCATTCACTCAGTCAAACTTAAAGTGTGCTAACTAAAGTAGAATCGCTGGATAGGGCTATCAAAAATCGCTGTTCTACGTATGTGACGTTGGGACTTCGCTGATTGACGTATTAATTCATTGTCAATCAAGGACTTGTCTCAGTTCTAGACTAGCTGTTCGTCCGTCACCTGTTATAGTTCATGTGACGTGTGATTATGAAGGTGTTCTGCTGACAGGAACTCTTTTTAGGTCCCATTTAAGTGTTTCACATCTGCGCATGTGTGTCGACTTTCAACGGTAGACTAGACTTTCTGATATACATGGTTCTACAAGTAACGATCACTATTCATGAGAATCCACAGAAATACGTTCTACATTCTGGGCTAAAATTCTTTGGCTTTGGTTCGTCTGAGAACAAAAATTTTCCAGCACAAAACGAACCAGATGATTCCCCGCTGTAATGAACCCAAAGTAGAACAATTCAGACCTGGTCGGTTTTCTGAAGCGTTCTTCAGATGTGAAATTAAGCTTTGTACATCATTCTGCATGTCCGTACCCAATGGAATGACACCCATCATATCCATATATATATATATATATATATATGGATAT